TCAATGATGTGTCAGGCTCAGGGGATCGATGTGCTACTTTCTGTTCTGTCTACGTTCCACCTTCAGTGTTTTCTTAACTCCACCCTCCTTACCTACAGTACACCTTATCCCTCTTCTCTATTTACCCCTTCCTCCTTTCTGGCTCGCTCCTCCTGATGCACGGCAGTGCTATCAGGTGTATAATCCAGTCTTGCCCTGCCTTTCTTAAGAGTTTGCTCTGCCACAATCTCGAATTTGTTTTTTCTTTTGACCGGCAAGTCAGCCAGTTCCAGCCCTGCCTTTTTCCTCTTTGTTTATGGAAACTGGTCCTGCCGCTCCTCGTCATTTTTAGTCCTTGGCCTTTTGTTAAGAATGTTTAACCCTCATTGTTCTGAAACTGGCAAGACAAGCTCTGCTATCTCTGGAGTATTTACTGTAGCAATGAACTGAATTTGTCCATACGGAAATATATAAATAGTATTCTGCAAAGTTAATGTGTTATTATGGTATGTCACAGGTTTTTCCCTATCACAAATAAATAAAATCAATTCAAACGTGACATAAATGCATGTGAACCATTGTTTCTTTGTAAAAATGAAGGTTGTTATGCACATGTGCAAGACTAAAGATAATACATTTTTTAAGCAAATATCTCTGAGAAAAATATTTCTGTAAATCAATAAAAATATTATAGATGAAAAATACATCATTTTTAATTAATGGGTTAAAAAAAACACATGGAAACAGCCACATAGACAATGAGGAAAGATGTGGAGAAGGAAGCAAAAGGAGCCTCAAAGAAAAAGGTTACGATAAATACAGCACAGTAAACCAGTAAAGGTGTGACATTTTTATAAATTAAATAAGTTTTACACATTTTACATACACATAAAAAATAAGTGAAGGGAAAGATGGAAGCAAATGAAAGTTCTGAAAACTGATTTGGGCTGATGGGGGTAATATGGGAAAATGCAGGAAGCAGAGAGGCATCAAACAGCCTGTTGCACCTTGTGATTCTTTAACCAGAATGGATTATTGTAATGCATCATTCATCTTTTTGTAGAGTCTGATTAGCAGCTTTGTGGGCCAAAGGTCAATTTCCTAACACGCATTAAGCAATTGCATGCATCATGCTTAAAATGTCGTCAGTAAATTAACACAAGTAAACAATAACTCTCACATGATTTCACTGATTAGTAAATTTCCAATCTGATATTTAATATTGTGCTCTGTGAAAAGTGTTAAATTGAGGTTTGAGATTGAAATCCAACATCCACTATCTACTGTGTTTATGGTACAGTACCATGAAGGTTTGCTAAAGTTAATAAAGGTAAACTTGATACAGTATATTTAAGTCTGAGTCTTGTATTTGAGTCCTCACCTGACATTGTGCCAGTGCTCATCTCAGCCAACACTGGGACTGAGGAGGGTTACATCCTGGACTAGTCGTCAGTCAACCACAATACAAACAGAAAACCACATACACGCTAGCTAACATGCATATGCAGTTTTGTTTCCACCCAACCTAGTCTCCACGTATTTGAGCTACCAGAGGATACAAACACAGAAATGCCTCTGCTTGTCTTGTTGATATTGGGTTTAAACTTGGGACCTCCTTGCTCTGAGTTAATGCTGAGCCAGACAGAGTTATGATGTAAAAAATGTCTTTTAAATTACACTAAAGGGGTTGAAGTAGTATTGATATACTCAGCATGGTAAACACATGTACCTCACTTCTGGTTGAGCTGAATTACTGGAAACCTTAATCCTACTTTATGTTTAGTAAGGAACATACACACCAAATGACATTTACAAAGTACTGGTATTTTCATATCAAGCTAAACAATGTCATTATTAAAAAAACTATACATGTAGATTTTTGTGTAAACAACTAAACTCCAGTGTAAATCTTGTATTCTCAGAGAAAAGAACACCAAGAATTTGTCAGCCTTCTTTTAATAGGCACAGTAAAGTGGTATGTTATATTGTTTGAATTACTTTTTGATTACATTCATTAGAATGTTACTGCTTCATTTCAGAAGACAGCATAGAAAATATGATATTTTGACTTATTTGAGAAAATCACAATTGGACAATCTGTGAGCACACCAACGGCTTTCACCTCACAGCTTGGCAGATGATTTGTCAGGCAGAGGCCCCAGCCACTTCTCTCCTAAAACCATAAATAACATGAGATTAAGCAAAACAGAAAAGCCACAACACAGTTAGACATGTTATCAAATGTTTCAGTATCTAAATAAAAGTACCAAAGTGTCTATAAACAATACAATTCTCTGATCATTGCAACAGTAGATCAAGAAGTGTCATGTTAAGTGTTGATGTTTATATTGTCACATTTACATTGAGTGTTGTGTTTCTGATTAATGCATATTACAATAGTCTTCTCACCAATGCAGTGGGCCATGAGCTCAAATCTGTCTGATCCAAAAAATATCTCTGGCTTGCTGTTTACATGACACACCAGCAGAGGGAAGCCAAATGCCTGAGAAGAAGCAACAGGAGAGATTTTGTTCATTAGGTTGTGAGGCCTTGTATCTGTTGCCTGAGTCCAGAAGGAGAACTGAAGGACAACTGACCCCATAATCAAGCGCATTCTGTGTTGCACTTTTCAGTTTGTCTTTGATGTCCTTTGAGGTGTACTGCTTCAACACTTCTGTAATCTCACTGTCAGACAGTCCTGCTTTGATCGCTGCCTGCAAATAAAGTGTAACAAAACTAAATAGTGCTTCTTAAACCTTCAAAATGCAGCCAGGCCAGATGAGATGGTACCTCAGACAGTGACGCAGGTTCAGTGATGTCTTTGTCCTCATACCAGATCCTCCTCCACAGCTCCCGGGACACCTGCTCTACCTGCTTGTCTCTTCCCTTCTCCCCCTCATGTACCGCTGTTAAAAATCGCATTGCCGGCAAGGAGCCTGTGATACAAAAACAGAAGACTTGAAAGTTCTTAACAGCTTTGCTCAGTAAAGAAAAATACCACAGCTGTCCCCTAGTGGGTAAAGATATGAATTAATGCAGTTTTATGGACCTGCTTTAACATCTCACCTCAAGGCCCTGAAGGTGACATACAGTAAGTTGTTAGCTTGTTTTATTCAACAAACAGTCCAAAACCCAAAGAAAGTTTACTGTCATATTTGGGAAAAAGTATTAAACCTTCACATTAAATTTTTGGTTTATATGGACCAATATGACTATTACCAACATAGTTGCTGATTCATTTAGTGTTGACTGACTAATCATTTGATTGCTGCAGACCTTCATTATTTCTGCTGATATTGTGCCTACACAAAGCATATTCCTAAACAAAACTGAGTTCACTCAAATTACCACAAAGCAAAGTTGGAGTCAGGAAAAAGTGCTCTAGCAGGCTGATCTAATCATGGTCTAAACAATACTATATCAGATCCTGTTTGTAATGTACCTTTATTGAACATGACCTCAAAGGGGTCAGAGGGATAACGCAGGGGAACATCAAAATACTGTCCCAAGCGAGCCAGATCCTTGGCCATGTATGCGAATTTGTTTGGAATCACGGCAGGGGGCTTGTTGCCTGTCATCACAGATAAACAGAATAATGACAGCAATATGAATATGCAACATGTTTTCCAATTGTTTACGGATACCACATGTGTTTACCTGATCCTTGCATGATGCCACCGAGAAATGCGGGGCGCAATTTGAGATCTATGTTCCACGTGTTTCTGTAGCGGCACATGACCTGTAATCACAATTTATCTGTGTAAAGCCTCGTTTTTAGCAAAGTCTCTGGTCGTGTTATTGACGCTGACATTTTAAAAATGCACAAACCTCAAAGGCAAGCCAAGAGTACGGAGAAACGACATCGTAGAACAACTCGATCACTTTCCTGGAGGTCATCTTCGGGAATGCAGTCACTGGTTCTTACTTTCGTTAAGAATATTTACATTAAGTGTAAAGATAGCTAATTATTACGCAACTAATGTGGGAGCCCAGAAGCAACCTCACTGTACTACTCAGTGTGTCAGAGTTCAACTACTCAGAGGGGGGGACGGGCTGCTGGAAGCCAAAACCTGCGAAATGTGACAACAGAATTGGACAAAACCTAAATTAAAATTAGCTACAATTGTCTAGAGCTGAAAAACATTCGAACAGACTCAGTAACAATGTCTGATCAGCATAATAATGGGTCTGAATAATCTAAACTCACCGTCACATTGCTACCGTCCTGCGGAATAATTTACAATCGACCAGCTTTGTTTTCTTCTTCTACGCCTTCGTCCTCTTCTTCTTCTTCTTCTTAGTTTAATATCAGTCCGGTTTCTTGTAGGTAAAAATACTTTTAAGACATCCGTTCCAGTCTTCAAAGAAAAGTTCTTCTTCTTCTTCTTCTTCTTCTTCTTCTTCTTCTTCTTCTTCCTTGAATGTACCGGCGGTTGTCTATGTGGGTGATAGTCGGGGTTCATCCATGGTTTATATGCATTACCGCCACCTACCTGACTGGAATGTAGAACACTACCTGTATGTAAGCAATAAAAAGGACGTTTTCTAATAACTTCCTTTTAACTATTTGATAACTATCTATTCCTAGTTGCATTTCCAAGAAGAAAATAAAAATCTGATGTACTTCAGCTTTTTGGTTCATCTTCTGTGTTTATTATTATGTTTATTGTGCTTTTATTATTGTTGATTTAATTATAACATTTCTTCACATTTAGGCTAGTACAGAAAACACAGAAAACCTAAAATTTATCTTAGCTTTCTATTGCTGATTCTACCTACTCCTCCAGTTTTGAGACATTTTGAGACATTTTGGGCTGTTTTTGGCATGTTTAAGGTCTACCCACAGATTTTCAGTGTCCTTCTGGTTGTCTTCCTTTTTGATTCGCTGCATGACATTTTCAACCAGAATTTGTTGATATTTAGTGAAATCTATTCTTCCCTAGGTCTGTGCAGTGTTTTCTGTGACAATGGCTGCCACACAACCCCTAAACAGAATATTTCCCCTGAGGTGCTTAACAATTGGCAAACCTTTGAACGATCCACTACAATTATGATTACAATTTTTCTGCTTTTTAAAGTTCATGAAATAAAAAGTAACTGTGCATTAACATTTAAAGGGGTTTTGTTTCCTTCTTTTTAATCAACAAAATGTACAATTTCCCCAAACTTTATTACAACTGTTGTGCATTATAACTGATAATGCTTTTTACTTTACATTATGTATAATGTTGAATTAAGACATTTACTTGTAATGTATTTTTACATACATATATATCTGAAAACTACTACTACTGCTAGTCTCCTTACCTTGTCACCATAGACACTATATTCATCTTACTGTGTATACTGAAGTGATTCAGGATGATTACAGAGCCTTGTTGTGTTTACATGTGAAGTGTCTGACTGAGTCTGACAGGTAATGACATCTCCTTCTGTTCCCTGCCCTATTGTTTGACATTAGCAATATAAAGGGTTTTTTTTTGTAACTGATGCATTTCTGTAAAAAATTTATTCATATTATTGTCACTTTTTTATTTTGCATAATTGAATTTACTCAGTTGAACTTGAATAGTTAACATTTCAACTGTAATTTAAGTGACTATTTGACCAGTACATTCATATAATCAGTGCCTTTCACACATATGAGCAGAAACCTAAATAAAGCTCAACACACTGGAACCTGTTCTATGTACTCTGTCAGCTCAGATGGCTACAATATATTTGCATGCACTTGTATGCATGCCATTATAAATAAGCAGAGGGGTATTGGCATTTATGAACCATGGGGCTGCACTGTAAATCAGACAGGGCTGTTACATGTGATGCAACATTCATTTACCACCAATCAACAATTTTCCAAGATGCTGTTTTACTGGTATCATTTAATTCATCTTCCCTGAACATGTCACCCTTCATTTTATGCATATTGTGCTAATTAGTTTCACATGTATGACTCAGGCACTGACTCTTTGCCTGCTGATAGGCTTTTACTTTTAGTGATCTACTGTATATAAAGATCCAACATCCATTATTGAAGTAAAACAGTTTTCCTGACATTATTAACACACCAGCATAAAATTTGTCATTTTTAATAACTGAACACTTCTCTCACTGCTTTTCTGTAAGCCTGTCTTGGCAGTTTTATATGTTGTACATTTCACTGAAATACAATTGAAAGATTTATATAAATCTAAAATATCACTGCTATGACAGTAAAATATTTATATTATCAGAAATACTATTTACTTTTACACTCTATTTACATATAAGTCATCCATCAGGATAATAAAGTAGTAACCATATAGGCTAGCAATGTCTACATGTATATTAAGGTCTAAAATCTACAGATTAACATTATTCTTTTATGTCTCCTCCTGAGGACTTGTTTGATCTTTGTGGTCAGCTGATCCCAAACTGTCAGAGAGTGCAGACTGAGGGCCTGGAGATTTGTCACTGAAAAAAAAAACAGAAAACAGGGAGAACAATTACCTGCATTGCTAAAGTGAGAAACATGGTATTTTTTCTGACTGCTAATCACTCTTACCTCTCTCCATCTTTCTCTGTCTGTAAAGGAAGTTAGAAAGTAATATTAACTCAAACCTTTCCATAAACATTAAGACTGAAATGCGTGACATGTATAACAATGAGTTTTTACCTTTGGCTTCTGTGAGCCACCGCCACCACTCTTCCTGGGTACTCCGAGAGTCTCAAAAGAGTGGCTCCGCACTCTGATGGCCCTCTAATAATTGATTTCAGAGGTAAGAAAATTGGAGTTAAATCAATAAAGGCAAGCAGGAGAGTTTCTGAAACTTCAAAAGCAAGTGAGGCCAAAATTCACCTTAAAGTTTTCAATGAATCCCCCGCTCCCCTCAGACACCCCCCGTGCACCCTCAGAAGTAGGGAGAGCAGACAGAGATGGATCACCGATCATGCACTGGGAACGGGTGGAGAGTTCAGTCTGTAAGCTCTCAAGGAGTGATGAACGAGTGCGGAGCTTCGTAAGAGAAAAGGAGGAACACAAGAGCACAGAGGGCGGACAATAAAATCAGAAAACAAGCTTGGATACCACTAATAACAAAAGGCATAATAAAAGCTGTTTTCCCTTACCTCGAGTCTGCTGAACTGCTCAGCTTTATAGCATGAAATCTCTGCATTGATGAGTTTGGTCAGAAGGAATTCTCTCAGCAGAGAATGCTAAAAAACAGGCCAGAGGAGACCATGACCCGTGAAAGAGTCATGCATACTATAACAGTTCAGGTAAGGAAGATGTAAATGGAAATGCTCACAGGCTGCACACATGAAGCAAAAGCTAAGTTTACTAATAAAAGCAAGGTTTATTAAAAAGACAAGCAAAATACAATGGGGAAAAGAATTATTTGATGCCCTGTTGATTTTGCAGGTTTGCCCACTTACAAAGAAATGAAAGGTCTATAATTTTTATTATAGGTTTATTCTAAAGGATAGAGACAGAATATCAACAAAAATCCCCTAAAAGCACATGATACAGATGTTATAAACTGAATTGCATTTCAGTGAGTAAGATAAGTTTTTGATCCACTACCAACCAACAATAATTCTGGGTCCCACAGACTGAGTATGTGCTCATGTGGTGCACAAATTAGTCCTGTCAGTTTAAGAAGGTGCTTCTAACGACAATTCGTTATGTGTATAAAAGACACGTGTCCACAGAGTTTCTCTATCTTCCATTCAAACCTCACCACCATGGGCAAGACCAAAGAGCTGTCAAAGGAAGTCAGGGATAAGATAGTAGACCTGCACAAGGCTGGAATGGTCTACAAGACCATCAGCAAGAAGCTTGGTGAGAAGGAGACAAGTGTTGTAGTGGCTATTCGCAAATGGAAGAAATACATCAGTCGCCCTCGGTCTGGAGCTCCATGCAAGATTTCATGGGGTAAGGATGATCATAAGAAAAGTGAGGGATCAGCCCAGAACTACACGGGAGGAGCTTGTGAATGATCGCAAGGCAGCTGGGACCACAGACACCAAACAAGCCATTGGGAAAACAGTACGCCACCAGAGATTGAAATCCTGCAGCACCTGCAAGGTCCCACTCCTCAAGAAGGTACATCTACAGGCCCATCTGAATTTTGCCAATGAACATCTAAATGATTCAGAGAAGCATTGGGAGAAAGTGCTGTGGTCAGATGAGACCCAAATTCAGCTCTTTGGCATAAACTTGACTTGCCGTGTTTGGAGGAATCAAAATGCTGAGTATGACCCTAAGAGCACAATCCTTAAAGTCAAACACAGAGGTGGGAACATTATGCTTTGAGGCTGTTTCTCTGCCTAAGGTACAGGCCGACTTTGCTGCATCAAGGAGCCGATGGACGGGGCCATGTATTGTAAAATCTTGGATGAGAGCCTCCTTCCCTCAGCCAGGACACTGAAGATGGGTCATGGATGGCTCTTCCAGCATGACAATGACCCAAAACATACCACCAAGGCAACAAAGGCGTGGCTCAAGAAGAAGCACATTAAAGTCATGGAGTGGCCTATCCAGTCTACAGACCTTAATCCTATAGAAAATCTATGGAGGGAGCTGAAACTTTAAGTTGCAGTGACAGCCAAGAAACCTTAAGGATTTAGACAATATCTGTAAAGAAGTGTGGACCAAAATCCCTCCTGAGATGTGTGCAAACCTGGTTACCAACTACAAGAAATGTCTTACCTCTGTGCTTGCCAACAAGGGTTTCTCCACCAAGTACTAAGTCATGTTTTGCTTGGGGATCAAATACTTATTTTACTCACTGAAATGCAATTCAGTTTATAATATTTGTATCATGTGCCTTTTGGGGTCTTTTTGTTGATATTCTGTCTCTATCCTTTAGAATAAACCTATGATAAAAAATTATAGACCTTTCACTTCTTTGTAAGTGGGTAAACCTACACAAACAGCAGGGGATCAAATAATTCTTTTCCCCACTGTATTCAGGCATGTAGAAGTAAAAAAAAAAATCAGATAAAGATTTTAAAAACTAGGCAGAAAGGATGAGGCACATTACATAACTGGCCTTTTTGTTTTACTGGAATTAGTTTAAATTGTCATATAGTAGGAAAACCACAGGTGTTGCCAAAATAAAGGCAGCTCACATCTACACTGTAGTTTTGTTTCTTACATCTTTAAAGATGGGAGGATCTGGGAGGACTGGACCAAATGGGGGAACATCCTCTCTGGCTGTGACAGACACCTGTAAAGAGGAGGAAAAATGTTTGAGCTTGACTGATAAATGAAAATGTTCCCCTTGGTATGTTGATAAAAATTCCAAATTCAAGGTATCCTTGTGAAAAAGAAAAAGATTAATTATGTCACATATGTTGGAATCTTTAAAGTCAGTATCAGTTCACCCTAAAAAATATATGATTGGTCAGGCTCTAGAAGTATTTTTATTTAATGATTAATTGATTAACTTCAAAAAACACGACAGATGACAGATTTAACTGCGGCTATTTTGGCTATTTTCTGTTCACCTGGTATGCAGCTTCACCTGTCTCCTTCTGAATCCTTCGGATCACCAGGAAACAATGCAGGAAATGAGACTTGATAACATCAGATAGAAAAGGAGTTTGGCCTTCCTGGTAGACCAAAGCTACGATGTCATTACCAATGTGTCTTTTTCTTTGTAACTGTACAGAAAGATGAAGAGAAGGAGAAGAAAAAAATGATCAGCATCTGCTCATGTCACTTGTTTTCTAAAGAGTCTCAAAAATATCCTCAGAAAGGTGGAGCTGTGAATGATCAGTCAGACAGTAACCTGCTGTGGGTCGCACTCTGTGAAAGGCAGTTTAGTTGCGACATGGAACATGATTTCTCTTCCACGAAAGGAAGTGAAGACTGCTTCGCTTCCTGTCTGACCATGACACACGTCCAGTCCTCCTCTGAACCTGTGAAAGGGAGTGACAAGAAGCAGTCATGTGATTTTACATATTGTATACGTCAGTTCTCCAAATGAAGAGCATCAGCATACTTTACCCAGTAAAACCTTGCAGTTGAATCGTCTCCCCCAAAATAGACAGGAACTCTTTAAACTCTTCATTTTCATCATTGTTGCTAAGTATGTCCTCCTCAGTGAACTAGGGAGAGATGGGTGGTGTCTGAGAGGGGGTGGTTACGATACGGCGCCATGTTTCAGTGATCTTTATGAATGGAAGACATCGCAAAGTAAAATGCCAGTTCTTATTACCTGTCCGTCCTTTTGATACAAAACGCCAAACTTGAAATTAGGAGACACTCTGTGTTCATCAAATGCAGTTATGAGATCTGGAGCCTGAGGGGTGAATGAGAGGGAGAAAGGTTTTGACAGAATCTGTTTAAAATAAGTAGAAATTTTTATTGGTTAGTAATTTTAGAGCATTACCTTGAGGTAGCTGACGACTTCAAACTTTGAGATGGTAACTCTATCACACAGCAACTGAAAAATATGATAGTTAAGGTGTAGACAACACTTATTTAGCCATGTGTTGGTGGTAGAAAGCAACAAATTACATTTACTCATGCACCTAAGTGCAGATTTGAGCAACTTGTATTTTTTTTTATCAAAACTTTACAGAGGGAAATATTTCACCTTTTAATCCACTGCAATTATTTTACAGCTATAGTTACTAGTTATATAGCAAATTATTATTCTTTTTAATTATACATACAAAACAAGGGATCAGCTATAAGCTGTATACAGTGCCTTGCGAAAGTATTCGGCCCCCTTGAACTTTGCGACCTTTTGCCACATTTCAGGCTTCAAACATAAAGATATAAAACTGTAATTTTTTGTGAAGAATTTTACTCATGGTTATTTATGCTAATATCTTTGTAGTTCCTGGGTACTTTTTCAGTCTGATACTGTTACTTTTACTTATGAATATGAATACTTCCTCTACCAGAATAAGTAGTTTGATACCTTTGCTAATTCAACAGCAGATGGGATGTTGGGGAAAAGAGACACGGAGAAAACTCCGTGCAGAGAGCACTCTCTCATTCTGTGAGGCAAAAAACAAATGTTCCGTGTAAGTGTCTGCAGTGAAGTTACTGTCACTTAACACTATACAGGCACATTCAAATAAAATGTAAAGATGCCCTCCAAACATGATAAATGAATATGCTCTGCTTTGAATATACTCTTTTTACTAATAGTGTGTGTCCGATATGGCTTTTCCTTAAAGAAGATCAAGTACATTGTTAAAATTTCTTAAAACTACATCTACTTTTTCTCCATCAATAAATTATCCAGAATCTGTGAATATGTAAAAAGTCTTTATTTATAAAGTTTAACTATCAGACATAACATATCTCCGAACTTCATTGAAATGTTCTGTTTTAGTTGCTTATTGGAACACGGCTGGTTTCTAAATAAACTGTGCCTGTGCATGTACTGTATGTATTAAACTCAGACTTAAGGTGAGTACAGAGGAGTTTTCTTAGCAGGTGAATATAAAAACAACCTTTTAGTGTCAGACTCTGCACATACATCCCTGAAGCTCAAACATTCAAGGCAAGTAACATTAATGTATTTGTGAGTGGAGGGGGGAAGCACAATGCCCTGGGAAATGTCATACTTTTTTAAAATGGCCAAAGATCTTCACCTTAATATCACCCGTAGCTTATTCTCCTCTTCCTCCAGACATACAGAGAGAACCAGAGGGCCTAAAGATGGATCGACTGCTGTGAATGAATGATGGTACTATGGAGGAGAAAAGATGATAAATCATAAATACCAGTCCAGGAAGGATCCTATTCCTTGAGATTTCTGTCATAGCCTACTGACTCGTGAGCGGAAGAACTCATGGTAGATCCTGGCCTCTCCATCTCTTTCCATAATGTCGTAGCTTTCTGGATCAAAGCCAAAGTGGGAACAGGTGGGACTCACATCTACAACCCTCTCCAGTGGGGGGTCTATCCAGTACCCCCCCAGCTTTGAAGGGAGGATGAGTGGCAGTTCTCCACCTATTGTTAAAAGCTGAGACTAAAGTAGACACAAAGGAGAATAAAGGCAAGGACCTGTCTTGTCTTGTTTGGTGAAGATTAAGTGGGTAACACAGGCATGTGATCACAACCATGAGTCAGCTTTTTTAAAATTCTCCGATTGAAAACTAACCTTCAGAGGCAGCGGGAATTCACAGCGCTGCTCATTGATCCTGCTGCCCTGATGGACAAGAGTATTGATAATAGGACATTTCTGCTGCTGAGACATCACTGTACAACGCAAGATCAGTTATGCTGTAACTCACCTGCAGCTTTTCAATGATTTCAAACAGCTCTGTGTCCTGAACAACAGGCAGCAGACACCAAATAGACATGCAGATGGAGAGAAAGGGAAGGACAAACATGGGGAGGAAGAGGAACATGGCAAATGATTCAGCTGCGAGTGGAAACTGGCTTCTCAGAAATGCAATCTATAAAGATACACTAGGTATATTTAATTAAAATAAGAGTTAGATCACCCTCTGGTTGCTGCTGGCAGAGAGGAAAGTCTTGCTCTCACTGGTGGGAGAGTCCAGGATGTCCAGTATGTTGTCCTCTGCAGGTTCGGGTCTACAGCAACAAGTTGATTTACACAAGAAGACAGAACATTTCATCACTCTTCCTTCACTCCATACAATAAATGTTAATGTAACTCAAAAACAGCTGCAATAAAACAAAAAATAAAGCCTCACCTCATCTCATTTCCATATGTGAATCTGTCCACACTGTAAACAAGGAAGTGAAAACTATTCAGAGATGGGTGATCTTAAACAAACAGGGCTGCTTATGTCTAAAAACAGTAATTTATTCAGGATGTGTAGCAATTCAATTGTCTTTTTTTCTCCTAATTTGAGACAGTGTCTTTACTCACCCTCCAAATGCCCCAAAAGTTAAACTCCTTTTTCTGGAGAAGGACATGTCATTCCTCTTTTCTTTCTCCATGCCGTTGGTGGCACTAATGTTTCTACATACCAGTTTGCTGCTGAGTCAATCAGGGCTGGTTAAGGTTGAATTTAATTCACTCTATCATTCTGTCACTCCTCCTCCTCTCTGCCCCCTGCCTCTTACTCATTTAAGCTTCCCTTTTCTCCCTCTGCCCTGCTGTCAGCCAGCCAGGCAGCATTAACCCGCGCATGGTCACAGGTGTAGCAGCTGCCACAAACTAGAAAATGGACACAGTCAAGATACTTCCTGCCATCAATCTTTGTGCTCAAATAAACACTCATGATGGTTTCTCAGACTGACTGAGCTTAAAGATAGACTTGTAAATAAATAAAGAAATGGGTGAGACCTTTTCTCCTGGACCTGTTACCCTTTGAGTTAGTAAGGATCATCAATTATTGACAGCACACACAGTAAGGGTGAGGAGATAGACAGCAGGGGAGGGTGAAGTTGGTCTGAGGGGTGGAGGTGGGGGGGGCGAGAGAGAGAGAGAGAGGGAGGGAGGGTGAAGGAAGGAAAACAAAAAGAAAGAGATGGACACAGAAAGAAGCATATTAAAACATTTACAATGTTTCTGTTTATTTTGCATCTTAATTATATGATATTAATAGAGGTATTGACCTCATTTATCTAAATGCTACAAGTTAAAATTTGGACTAAAGAATAAAAGCAAACAAATCACTTCACTTTCTTGCAACCTTATATAACATTGTAACATTCTATAACATATAGACAATGACAACCTAACAACCTACAGACACTGAAAACATTTGACAAGGACCCTAAGGAGAACAACAAATGTTATATATACCAATGCATTTTATTTTGCAAGTTTATGTAAAATCTTAATCTGAACAGTGGTCAGGTAGTTGAGTAAATAGTAGCTAAAATATTTAGGCTAATGCTGAAATTGTGGAGTAGAAGTAGTTAAAATACTCTAAAACTACCTCAAAATTGAACTAAAGTTCATTACTTGAGTAAATCTAGTACTTAGTTACTTTCCATCACTGCTTTAAATTTAAAATAAAGGTTAAGTGTAGAAGAGTTCCAGAGATAGGTTAAGAGACTAGATAGCTGCAGTACAAAGACTGATGCAGGCAACATCTAAGACATGTTTTATAATTCTATATATTTTTGGTCGTGATGAATATTATAGCTGAGTCAATCATTTTTAATTAGCCAGCTGCATTGCTGATTTTTGATCTGTTGTAACCAAACACATTTTTCATATCATGTCATGGTATTTTTTACTACTCAGAAATGTCAATATGTCATGGATTTTCCACTGGAGCACTGTTGTATTAAAATCCCATTGATAAACCTTTTTTTAGATGTAGGCAGGGCCTGCAGTATCCTATAATTCTAATCGTAGGGTTGACGGCCACTAGTTAAAATATTTTTGTTTCAGATCACATTGTTTTTTCAGAATAACATCACAGAAAACTGAATGATTTTTTTTTAAATAGTGACCAATAGCAGAATGGTTCCTGTTGGGCTTTTCTCTAATGTTCCAATATATGGGTCTACTGTGGACGCTTATTTTAATGTTGTGTGAAGTAAAATATTTTAACTACTTTATATAGGCTAATATTGGGTAGTTTAGTAATCTGTTGTCAAATAGTGGAGTTAATAGTGTGAATGAGGAATACAAAGCAGAATAAAATAGAAATGCAGACCTAAAGTACAGGTATGTACAAAAGTAAACCGAGGAAAACGTCCGCCTTCCTTTGCAACACTGTCCCATATCTCATTAACTGCCCTTTGTATTTTTTACCTTTGATCGTGGTTATTATCATGAATGAAAACTTTTAGGCCCACCATTAGAGAGCTGCTTCTGCCTGTCTTCAAAGCACCCCTTATCAATTGGCTACTTATTTACAGACAACATTCAAATTCAAAACACTCTTGAATCCACTATTTTACAGTAGGGGGAAACCGCCTGATAGAGTCAGATTACTGGCCACTTGAGACGCCACTCAAATGTTATTGTGCTTGCATTGGTCTGTAGCCAATCCAACGAGTGTGTAGCCCCGCCTCCTCGCTTTGCAACCCTGAATACGCCGCGGAAGCTGGTGTGAGCAGCGGATAGGGATGTTGATAATTTGCGCGAAATAGTGTGAAACACGTTGACATTTTGCTGTTGTGTTTGTGGCCTGTTTGGTATTCTGTTGCTGAAACAGAAGAACGGTAAGAACTACGTTTGGAAGAAGTTACATGCCATTTAGTTTAATGCAAGAAAAAAGAGGGCAGTCGAAGTTAGCTAGCTAGCTAGTAGCATTTGTAATTAGCCAGCAGCATTCAGGTTAACGCTAACTGTAGTCAGATATGTTAGATTAACTTAATGGAGTATTTCCATTTTGTTGATAAGATAGTATAAAGCTACTCCATCCTTCCGTTTTGTTGATAAGATAGTATAAAGCTACACGCTTAGTTAACAGTCTTGTTAATTGTCTATTATATGCACATGCCATGTCCATCTAGTATTGTTGGTAGTTTTATTTTTGATGATTTTATCATTATATCGCCAGTGACAATAATTGATACGTGTTCTGTCATGAGAATCTAATGCTAATGCACGAGTATATCCCATTGAGAGAGCCCAGCGACAGTAAAGGCTACAACGATACTGTTGATACTGCAGGTAGAAAAAAAATAAGAAGGTTCCTGTACTTTATTTGTCCTGCACCCAGTCTGTTGGAGCAAAATGTTGGAGTGTGGCATGCTGGAGCGGGACAGACAGACTATTCGGAGATGCTCGGTTGTTCTCTGCAAACAGCTGGTGGTGGATGCGATGCTCATTCAGTCACTACAAGCAGACGACATCCTAACCGAGAGCATGGCAGAGAGCATCTTGGTATGTTAACACTGATCTGTGGGATATTGCTGCCTCATGTCTATTGACAATCAGCTGACTGTTAACAAAATGTTCCTCGTGTGATTGTAAACAGATGTTGGATACTAACATCTTGAATTCTAGAAACACCTGCTTAAATTGAGGTCAGTATATTGTTGCTGGGCTGGTAATAACTTTGGTAAAGGTTTTGGTCAGCTTTAGGTCCGTGGCTTCAATTGTGTTTCCAGCCTAGCAGTCTCCCTTTTTTGTTTGTTTGTTTGTTTTGTTGTTGTTTTGTTTAAAATGCTAGTTTCACTTCTTTAGGCCATTAAAGATATTTTACAGTAAACACAATCTTTCTTTGGCTGATCTGCATATCATTCATGCCAACACTAAGGACATGATTTGTGCTGAGGATGTGGTTAGACATTAGTTAGACAAGTAGGTGTTGCTTCATTTTAAGGGGTCATTAGCCAAATCATTTGGGAACCATTGTTATGCCCTTTAGAGAATTTGTCTAGTAAGAGGTGAATTTCACATGAGTTTGAAGTTTAATATAACGTGTAAAGTTTCAAATGGATAAAATCTGCAATTTGTAATAACAAAGGTTTTGGCTTTAAAGCAATTTCATATAAAGAAATGGTTTCTTCTTTCCGGCTGATATTTCTGATTCCAATTTGTGATTTTGGTTTTAAACAACATGTAGCTGGCTGAATTTATGTTATTTCATTTTTAAGACAAGCCTTATGGACTGTTGTTATTCAGTAGGTGATGTCTGAATAATGTAATGAATTTGGATTACATCTGTATTAGGGATACTAAAATCACTTCAGGTTTACTGTTAGATTTAGTCCTTGTCATTGAGCTTTTTTCTGATCTCCACTACTCTAGGGTGAGCAAACCTCTCAAAAACGAAGCTGGCATTTGTTGCAACTCCTACCAAAGCGAGGCCCCAGAGCCTTTAGAAGCTTCTGTGCAGCTCTGCGAGAAACTGAGCAGCAGCACCTGTGTGATCTGCTCACACAATCCCCAGAAAGAGATGGTAGAGAGGCACAATTAAAGGTGAGTGTGAACCTTGTTTATCATCAGTGCACATCACCACTCACAGAGCACAAAGCTCTACACAGCAGCTTCTTACCAGACTTAGTGCAGTTCTTAGGCTGTTTTCTGCTCACAGAGTATTCAGCCTGAGGAAGAGCCAGAGGGAAAGGCAGGGCGATTGCTCATGCAGACACCAGAAAAGAAGAGCGAGGTGAGCAAAGTGCTTACAATCAAGCAGCCATGATCACTGCAGGCTTCATAATTGTCAGTTCAATTAAACATGCTCCAAGAGCAAAGTATAATGTCCACATCTATGATACCAGTATGCTCCAGTTACTTGATTTTCTGCAGACATCCTTGGTAGATAGAAAGGACAAAAATGAGGTGAGCGTCACCACTTCATGCCCAGTGCAAGCCTCAGATATCCATCATTCACAGGGTCAGTCCCTGTCAGAGAACAGGACAGGAACAAAGAGACAGAGGATGAAGAAATCAGGAAGTGATAAACAGACAGATGTGAGAATCACAAACCACATCCATCATATATTAGATAACCAGATTGTCTACTCACATAGTCAGACAGCAGGCAGGAGAGTCCCAAACTGTTGAGGTACAATTGCAGTTGTCATATTCCCACAGCAGTTCTCCACAAACAACAGCTGATGTCACAGCAAAAAAACAAAAACAAAACACATTTCTTCTAATCTTGTCTTCCTCTTTTAGCAGAAAATGTTTTAATTTCAAATACTTTGTGCATGATTTTGAATTTCAGAGGTTTGTGGATCCTTCTCTCCCATTTCCAACCCAGGAGGTTATTGCAGCCAAGAGAGCAAGGACACGTGGTGAGTGAGCTCACATTGTGGACTGCATTTCAGTTAAAATAGGTTTCTCTGTTTCCAATGTTGTCAGTATTTTTCTGTTTCCTTGGAGACATGGGGTGGTGTCTCGACAACAGGGTTTATCTGTTGTCCATTTTACTGAGACAGGTAATTGAATATAGTTCAACACAAAGATGTTGTAGCCAGGAGCTGCTTAGATGAGTTTATTCTCTGTGAACTGCTTATGATGTAATCTTATCATTGAGAGAAGTGTGGGAGTACAGTGTACTATACCTGCAGGTGCCACACCCCAAGAGTGACTCATTCACACACTGTGTAGTACAATGTTGTTACACTACTGGTGGCAGGAGTGCACAACAATCTTTGTAACAAGCACAGTTCAACATCTTGATTGTGTGTGTGTGTGTGTTGTGCTTTCAGAGTCCATGGAATTTAGTCTGGATGCAGATAGTCCCATCAACTCTCCTGTGCTTCCATGCACGTCTGACTTTTACCTCTCACACTGCCAGCAGGTAAAATACAGTACTTCTCTTCACATGGCGAGCTCAGTAGGACTGCAGCAGCTTAGCTCTGTTATGTTTTATTTATGGCTTCTTAATACATCTGAATGTAGAGCAGTAAAGGCAGACATGCATAAAGTGTAGCGATTGTAAGTTGAATTAATGTGTAAAATAATAATAGAATAATATATTAAGCCTTTATAGGATAATATTTTTTGTAAATGATTTGTCAGGTTTTTTTGGATTCACTGATGCATATTTGCCACATCGTTTTTTCTTTGTTTCTTGTCCATACTTCTGGTTTTTCTCTCTCACTTTCCCCACTCTAGTCTTACAGAATGAACTCATCCCCTCGTGGCTTTGCCTTAGTGATCAGTAACGTGACCTTTGACCCTTGTGCCGCTCCTGACCTTGACCCCAGAAAGGGGGGTGAAGTCGATGATGAGGTCCTAAGGAAAGTCCTCACAGAGCTTGACTATCTAGTTACTGTCCACAGAGACCTCACTGCTCAGGTAACACACACAGATGTTGGTAGTATGTGTATTTAAATACAAACCATCCATGTTATGTAGGTGACAGACTTAGAAAAAACAAGCTGTAAAAGGGAAGATGATCAAATCAAATTTTATTTGTATAGCGCCAAATCACAACAAAAGTCATCTCAGGACACTTTACAAAGTAAGGTCTAGACCTTACTATTATCACTGTTATTATTATAAGAAAACCCAACAAATCCCCCTTGAGCAGCACTTGGTGACAGTGGGGAGGAAAAACTCCCTTTAACAGCAGAGACCTCCGACAGACCCCGGCTCTTGGTGGGTGGCCTTCTGCCTCGACCGGTTGGAGTGAGTGGATAGAGGAGAGACAAAAGAAGAAAAGCAACAAGACACAACAAACAATCAAACACTGGTCAGGTTGATGTGGCTGGTGACTGCTCGTCAGAGTCGTAGGGCTCCAGGGCCAGGGCAACCTGCAGAAAGGTACAGGGAGAGAGAGAGAGGACACACTACGGGAGAGAGGAGACACACAGTTAGTGATGTGTAATAGTGGCATAGAGAGGAAGGAAAGAAACTCAGAGCATCATGGGGCCCCCCAGCAGCCTAGGCCTATAGCAGCATAACTAAGGGAAGGCTCAGGGTCACCTGATCCAGCCCTAACTATAAGCTTTATCAAAAAGGAAACGCAAAGAGGAACAATCTTTTTACTTGTATACCTTCAGAGAAAGTCCCTTAGCCAGTGTTTGTAGAAAATATGCTCTCTGTAAAATTTGTTTAGTTCAGGTCCCATTATTAGTGCTGCTCTTTTGCCAATATTACAGAGTAAATGCGTGTTACCTTTCAATCATGTAGTTCATTATAAAGCCCCTTTAACATAGAAATCGTGGCAAACTGCCAGTATTTTGACCCTTTGTCAAGGTGGCTTTTTTGATTTAAGCCCTTTTCTATTGAACCCAAAAATGCTGGCAAACTGCCGCTCCTGCATTCATCTTACATAGCTGCCAGAATCTCTGCACTAGAGGTTTGATGCTTATCATGTTGTCTGATGGTCTGCATACTTGGCGCCATTTAGAAAATGAAGCAAAGAGGCTCTTCTCTGATTTTGTTTGATTTATTTATAAATGGAAGTCAGAAATTATATGTGAATCCAATTTCAGGTCTGTGTGTCTGCCTGAGGGCAGGGCTCTACACACACAAGGTTCACAGCCAAACAGACATGTGGATTCATTGAGACAAAATCCTTCCTACAGGGTTGTGCAGTGGTGTGGCTGTGTTTATTCATGCTTTAAAACATAACCGCAGTGAAACAATCACAAAATAACATTTAAATTCTTTGCTTCATTTTGTCATCTCTGACCTTTCCTCATTCACTCTCTAGCTTGCTCTCTCGCTCATGCGGACCTCCAACCCGCCATTCCATCTCTTCCCATTTGTACAGGAGGTGGTGTGAACTCATCGTGGCAAAAATACTATTTCGCATTGTGGCATTTTAGGGGTTTGACATCAACCCTCCACACTGGTGGTGTACCTTTTCTACAGAATGGCAAGGTGTAAAACTCCTGCATTGAAGGGGCAGTGTAAAAGGGGCTTAAGGAACTTAGAGACTTTAAGAGGACACTTGGCAAAGGATGCAAATTAGTGGGGAGACTACTCAAACCTAGAAGGATCTATGTAACCACATGATTTCCCTACTAACCTATTAACAAAACCTTACACACATGATTACCCATGTCATCC